GACCGAGCGCCTCAGGTCGCGCAGCGCATCCTGCAGGCACTCCATGCCCCTGAGGCCGAGCAAACTCCGGCGGGCCGCGCAACATGCAGCAGTCTACCTACGTGCGCAGGGTGCCCAGGTCCCGGCATGGGAAACCGCTGCTTGCCTGGCTGGGGCCCGAGCACAGCGCGGCGATGAGCCTGCCGATCACCTACGTGGATGGCAGCGGCATGAGGCCTCTGCCTGCGATGAGCGCACGCTCGAAACGCACCTCTTTCACCTGTCACCCGCGTCCCAAGCGCTGCTGCTGTCACAGGCTGGCCCGCACTCCTCACATGCCTTCAACTACTTGCTGCCTACGCACGAGGAGGTCGTCATCCCCAGCGCACAATTCCGTGCACTCCTGCTGCGTAGGTTGCGCCTGCCCCTCCCGCTGGCGCCCAGGCATTGCCATTGCCGCGGCCAGCTTGACCCCTGGGGCGACCATCGCGCAGCCTGCGCTACTGCTGGGGTGCTCCCCCGCCCGGGCGATCCCGCTTGAGCGGGCGCTGGCCCGCGTCTGCCGCGAGGCGGGCGCTCGTGTCGCCCAGAACGTCCGTCTGGCCGACATGAACCTGGATGCCTCCGTGCAAGACGCCAGGCGCATCGAGGTAGTGTGCAATGGTCTGCCACTGTGGCATGGTGCGCAGCTCGCCGTCGATGCCACCATAGTCAGCCCTGTTGGCAGGACCGGCGAGCCACGGGCCGGTGCAGATACCCGACCGGCTCTGGCCCTCGACCAAGCCGCCCAGCACAAGCGCCGCCAGACCTACCCTGAACTGGAAAGGGCGCGCCGATGCCGCCTTGTTGTTAACATTTTCGGTGTCGAGATGTGTCGAGGTAGGCGGCCGCTGGTCGCGCGAGGCAGCCCAGTTCGTCCGCCTACTCGCACGCGCACGTGCGGCGGGGGCGCCTGCGGCCCTATGTGCTTCCGCCTGCGGAGCCTGCGCTGGAGTTGCATTCTCTCCGTCGCGGCGCAGCGCGCCTTTGCAACGTCGTTGCTGGAGCTGCCACTGCACGGGGAGTGCCAAGGCGGCGGCCCTGAGCCCGAGCTGCATGAGGTCTTTGCGGATTCGCGCTGGACGGCTGCTCCCGCCACGAGCCGAGTCGCGCCGCGCGCAGCGTGAGCACGTGCTTGGGACGACCTGCGGAAACAGGTGCGTGTGAAAAAAACAACTAATCTCGGCATTGTTTTTTCATGCCTTGTCAATCCCAAACCACACAACACTTAGCATGAGTGATCATAAGTTGAGCAGGTGTCTGCGCCTGGTCCTTTGTTGCACTTTCCTGCTGTGATTCTGTGTGGTTCATTACTATCGGCATCGGAAGTGTTTTGGTTTCTTCAGGCCCTCTTCGGGGTTGTGCCGTTGTTCTGACCTATGCGCCGTGCCTCGCCGCAGCCACTGCCGGAGCATGCCGGTCAGGTAGAATTTGGGATGTTTTAAAGCGGGATGGAAACATGCACGCCGCCTTTGCTGGGAGGATCGAGTCGGGCAAGTTTTGCAACGAAGGCCGCTCTAGGATTTTGCTGTTTATTGTGTACGTGCGCGTGGTTGGCATCAAAAGTAACATTACCGTACCTCAATCCAGCAATACGCAATATCAATCAGAAGTCCTGCTATGTACGGGATAGTTGTGGATCCTAATCCATGGGAGACTTAATTAAGTCCCATGCTAGTTAATGATGGACTTGTATAGGGCAACCAACAAAAACAGTCACCCAAAAAAGACTCAATGAGTTTTTATATTCGACATCGCTAGTTACATAAAATGTAGTATGTATATCCTCTTCGATATGTCACGTATGTTTGAGTTGTGTGATGGGAGGTACAGCAGCATCCGGTTCATTTCCAACCTTCGAATCGTCAGCACTACCTTGCAGCACCACTTGCATCACTTCACCACTGCCGCCACCACCGAACGACTTGCAGCTTTGCATGTTACGGAATCAATGATGAACAGACAATAACTTTAATGTAGTAATTCCTGCTGTAATGAGAGCGTCCTACAAGCAGGGTCATGATTTCTAAGTAGTGCTGTAATGAGAGCGTTCTACAAGCAGGGTAATGATATCTAAGTAGTTACAAGACTCCCTATGGGTAGCATGATGAGCTGACTATACCGAGCTAATAGGATTGTGAAGAAAGATGATATGGTAATACTTGGACGACCACGATTCGTTCATTGATGCGAGGTGTGTTGTTGATCTAGGAGGAACAGTGTTATCGGCCCCCTCACATTCGCAGGGTGGTGTCTTCCGCACCGGACAATCTCCAGCAAACCTGCTTGCGTTGTCCCGCACGGCGCTTCCACTTTGTTGCTTGGCTGCCCGAGCCTGGATTCGCCGAAGGCCGGATGTGGTGCACCGCACACGGGACTGCTCATCTACGCCTAGGCGTTGTGCGCATCCAGAATCGCGAACGATCATCGTTTCATGTGGTGTCCTGATGAGGGCTCCCCAAAAATCTCTTTGACTAGTCTCTTTGTAGCGGAATCGCGGGGTACGATTCGGGAACCCTTGAATCACTCTTGAATCATATTTGGTGAAAATTGTTTGGGGGCCGAGGTCGAAGTTGTTTGCGGCTAGGCCTCCACACACACTTTTGACTCGTTTGGGCTTCTTCTGGAAGGCTCTAGGTTTCAAATCTTATCGGGGATGCCGGGGGGGGGGGGGGGGGGCGTGGGGCAGGGGATTGCTTCATTCGGGACTAATTTTTTGTTTTGAGTGTCGGTACTGTAAACTTTCGTACGATTACGCACCACGGTACCACGTTTTTTTTTGTCATGGAGCTTCGGCATAATTTCGTGCTATTGTGAAACATCAGAGCTCAACATTACGACGTCTAGAGGTGTCCCAAACATCGTCTCGTGATGAAATGTAGTCGCTTTTGCGCACTGGAATGCTCTGCGCTCTGGGGGTGCTTTTGGGATAGTTTTGATGTGCTTAGATGCGTCGGTGCGTTCGTGTATGGAGGTGGTCGACCTCTCGCGCGAGCATCAGGGAGGGAGTGCTGGCTGCGCTGCAGGCAGGCCTTCGCGAGGAGTAGTCCCACATGTCCACAACTACGACGCAATTCGTGCGCGCGATGCAGGCTGATGAGCCTGAGTCGCAGCTTGGCTTGCTGCATTAGCGTAGTGACCGTGCACGTCACCGAGCGTGATTTGTAAGCTCCGGCTTGGCCATTGGGCCTGAAGCGGTCCTGCGAGCTGAATGACCTGGCAGGAAATACAACGGATTCCATAGATCGTCGGGCAGCCGAAATCATGCAAGCAACGGTGCCATTTGGTGTTGCATTGAGGAAAGGATCAAAGCCTTCCAAGAAGCAAAAGAAGAAAAGCTCAAAGTCGCCACAAAGACAACCCACATCCCAGGCGGAGCCGTTTCTTGGAGGCAGAGTGTTCCGATTTGTTGACTGAGCCCACGCCGTTTGCGGCGGTTGTTTCTCCTGTCTTCGGGATCGTTCGTTTAAGGACGGTGGCAGGCCAAGATGGCCAGGACAATGATGCCAATGACTTGCTGACCCTTGTGGAGGCCGTGCTGCAAAAGAAACAGAGGCGCATTCTGACAGGGAAACGAAACACGGCCGCGCAGTTTTCAGAAGGCTTGCCCTGGCAGTCTAGTATTCGTTTCGATTCAACTAGCATGGCGTCAGATGTCGACTTGAACAACATCTCACCTGACAGGGTGCTGATGCCTCGAGACTTTGAGATGATTTGTGAAAGTTGCGATCTGGAAGTCGAAGTTGCGCTTTCCAAGTGCGACTTCCTCGTGCAAGAGGACGGGATGGGTCCCCTTGCGTATTCATCGGCCTCGCAGGTTTCAGGGCCTTGTCGAAGCTTTCCGGAGGACTCTGGCATCATTGAGGTGCAAAGCCTGGATGATGCCTTGGCATTTTGCATGGCGGAGAAATTCGCTGACACGAAGATCGCTCACCCATTGCATGAAGTTGGCCTGTATGCCAACAAACTGGTGCCCAAAAAAGATCGGGAAACTTCTCGCCTCCAAACTTTGCTCTTCAAATATTCGGAATTTTTTTGCTTAACAAGCCATGGAACCGTGACCGTGAGAAAGCGACCAGCCTGGCCGGACATGTCCAAGGGCCGGTCCGTGTCAGAGCCTGGAGATGCTGACGTGCCATCCGAATTTGTGAGAAGCACTTCTGAGCCCATTGGCCGTCTGCGCAAGACTGTCTCTGACATTGACATCACGGAATGCCTAGATTTCCGCGGAAGCTTGGGCAGAACACCCACGAAGTCAGATTCCGCTACGCTGAGCGCGTCATTCGCGAATTGCATTGAGCAGCATGGGATTTTGAGGCTTGGAGAATGTCCAGCACAGTTTCTGGGCTCTAGGGTTGAGGCTTGGAACCTGCACCGGAGCGGGTTTGATTTTGGAAACACTCAACATATCAAATCAGGAGACCGGAGCTGCTCCTTGCAGAAATTGACAATGCCTGCGCTTTGCGCGGCATCCGGGAGGACTTTCCGCCTCGTGTTTTGAAGACTGCACTGCACATGTGCCAGCTTGTCAGCGGATCCAGTCATGGCGGCTGCAGGAGGCGTTGCTCAAAGATCCTCACGTTGGTGACATCCTCTCCGGCTTTGTGAAAACACTTGTCTTTGTCTCATCCGCAATTCGATTGGTCCTTGTCAGCCAGCCAATCACCACCATCCATGACCTGGAGACTGCCATCCTTACGCATCCCATGTTCGAGAACAAGAATCGTTTTGAGGATGCGTGCATTGGCAAGTTGCAGTTCCACCCTCTGGTAAGACATCATTTTGGTCTAAACGACCTGCCCACAATCCCGGCTAGTTTTCCAGCCGTCAGTGGGCTGGAGTTGGTACACAAGCTTTTCTCCGCCGATGTGGTGAAGTCCTTCTCTCGCGTGGGCTCGAGGCTGTCGAACAAGAGGGCCAATTCAGTGTATGGGGCACTGAATCAGCTTGCGGAAGCGTATCGCTTTGACGACTTTCGCAAAATGGGTCGGTGCCTGAGCATTGCAAGTATTCCATTGGCACTTTGCGCGCGGCCCCTGATTGCAGGCATCGCAGTGCAGGATGGCTCCTTCTTGGGACAGCTCATTCCTGCCATGACCAACTCGGGGGCAAACCTAGCAGCGAAAGCACGAACAGGCCGGCATGTGATTCAAAACTGAGCAGCACAAGTCAGCGAGAGATTTTTTGTTTTCGCTTTGTGGCCTCTGCTCGCAGGCGGTAGGGAGACTGTTGCGCGTGCCTTCGCTGAATGGATCGCTCTGAGCCTGCACCGACAACACGAAGACTTCTTGGTGGAGCTCCATGGCAGAAACGTTTGCAAAAGTGTTTCCGTCTTCGTCGCTCAGCACATGTATCTCAGAGGCTGGCCATGCTCAGCAGCAGGGAAAAGCAGCAAAAGTTTGTCGATGGCCGCTTTGCCAAATGTATCCAAATATTGATGGCTGCCCCTTAGAAGTTCAGAAGTGTTCGAGTGCCTCGTCTTGTCCAGGCCTTGCGTCGGAGCGGCCAGACTGGCCAGCAGCAAATGAATGGTCAGCAGCAAGTAGCCGCAATAGCCCGTCACATTATGTGCGCTGGCTGTTCAGTGAGCTACTGCAGTTGGCACCCAAGAACGGAGGCGCAGAAAAGCATCACCATCAGTGCACATTGAATGTAGTCATTGCAAGCCTGGGGGGTTGCTTGATGCAGGAGAAGCGGATGAGGCAAAAGATGTTGAGCTGCCAGGCGATGGCACGAGAGCGGAAGGTGACAACAGGGTGACCGAGGCGCAATTGGGTTTTCGATGTCAAAGTGTGTACCAGAGCACCTCAAACCCGGATGCACTTGGCCAGTCGCACCGCAATGCCAGGCGGAAGAGCCAGCACTAGAGAATTCGAAGCAGTTCAGCAGCAGTCGCATCCTGGACCGCATGCGCACGTTTCTGGGATCAAGTCTGGAGCTGGGAGAGCTTCTGAAAGCGCCCCTCGTCTGCAGCAATACTCGCCTCCGTGACTGCGTGGAGCAGGCATGCCTCAAAGCAAACAATTCGGGTAAAGGCATAGTCTATCTGTGTTCAAGCATGCCTCAGGTTGGGAAAGTTCGAAGACCGTCTCTGCAAGGAAGAGGGGAAGAACACTTGGAGGGACCTGAAGCTGGGATCCAGTTTCGGCAGCTGGATCTCGTGCCTGGCCTGCAGAAGATCTGGTGAATCTGGTGAACTTCAAGGCCCGAGCTGCCCCAGCTGCCCCAAGGCAACACAACCTGGAAATTGCAGATGCTGCCGGACTGGCAAGCCGCAGCCGCTTGAAGGTTGAGACGGCCGCAGAGGAACCTTGGTCAGCCCAAGGGAGGGCTTGGGGGTTAAGGCTACGTGCTACCAGTAGCTGTAGCTTCTAGCTTGTCGGCGCGAAACTCCAGGAACGTAGCCGCATTCGGCCATCAGAACCAAAGTTCAGGCGTAGATTTCGGAAGCAGGACCGGAAATGCAGGAAACGGAGCCAGAAATTCAGACATGAGAATTCCGGAAACAGGTCAGAGACCGCCACTGCGGGAAACTGGTACGTACAATTCTGGAAACAGATGCGGACAATTCAGGAGCTAGGCCATCCCGTGCCACATCAATGCTCGGGTTGGGGTTCATGCCAAAGCGGTATCTTGCCATCAGCGCCTCCTGGACCTTCCCCATGGCCATCCACTTCAGGTTTTTGCTTGAGGGTTTAGGGTTTTCTGCTGGGACCAAGCAGCTGTTGGACAACAATGGCTCCGGTTTTTGGGTTCAGGGTTAAGGGCGCCCAGTCCCGTGCCTCAAGCAGATGGCATGATGGGTTTGGTAGGCTCAGTTAAAGCGTTCGCTTTCCGCAAAAAAAGCTGTGTTTTTTGTTTAAATCCCCAGCTCATTGGTGATTTTCACCGGAAATCGTTCAACATTACGGGCCGGTTTTGTCGAAAACGGTTTTGGCTCCACGGCTCCACGACCTCCAGGTCACCTAGCCACTGGCAGCTGCCAAGTCTTAAACTTAAGCTGCAGAGGCAAGCTGCCCAGGGATTGGTCAAGCTGCGGGAACGCGCTGTGGGCTACGGCAAAAGGGGCTGAGACTGCTGCACGAAAGCAGGGAGCCAGCAGGGCAGGGGCCCCCGCGAAGCACGCAGCAACGCTGCCTGAAACCACAAGCTGCATTGGGAGTATCATCTTTCGAGTCAACGCACGCCCCTTACGGCCACCGGGTCTTGAACTTTCTTCTGCTTCATATCCCCACATCGCGTCGCGTGACATACAAGCCCCTTCAAGTAAAGGGAGTTCTATCGCTTCTGAATTGTCCAAGTCGTGCTGAATTGGCACTGCTCGTCGTCCGAATGTTGGCCTATGTTGGCCTTCATGTGCTATGCTGTCCTATGCGCTCTCCGAATTGTGGTGCCTGCTAAGGACATGTGGCGCCGAGCCGCTGCAGAATGTGATGCCGCCCGTCCTTCACGAGTTGGAGTGTCGTTGCTAGCGATGTAGATTTTTCCCACCTCTTTCCGACGGGGAACTTAATATTGCGCGTGCTCACAGTCCGTCATGTCGCGTGGAAGGACGCGGAGCGGAATCTCCGTTTGCTGCTGCATCACTTCGGTGCAGTCTTGCCCCTGGACCGGCACTACTCGTAGCTGGTTTCAGCTTGCAGGATCATCTGAAAGCTGCTGTGAGCTGTTGCATTCATTGCCAAACTGTGCCAAACTAAGGGCGGACGGTGAGATTCAGGGCATTGTCGACAGCATTGACTGCACGCAGGTCGAGAACAATCCCGCCGAGCGTTCGACAAAGGTTGTGTTCCCAATGTCAAGCTCTCATGCATCATCTGGGCCAGCCACTCAAGCTGCGACGAGTGAGGAGAGGGATGAACTGTTGGAAGAGGCCACCGAAGCAGTGCTTTCTTGTCCGGTACTTTTCGATGTGGCAGAGTCACTTCCTGAGTGGGAGATGCGTTTCGGGGCCCTGGCAATGGACATCAGCTGCTTCCTGCGCTCACCCGAGTTTGAGGCGAGAGCGAGCAAGAGAGGCGCAGTTGGCAGCATTCTGGAGGTCCGTCACAATGCCTTCGTACGCCTACCCTTGGCCAAAGACTGCTCGACGGAGCGGCTCGCTACAGCATTGGAGGCCACGGACGGCCGCGCCGTATCTGCAATCGTGTTGGCCCGCCTGCTGCGTGAGGGGCGGGCGGCGCCTTCTTCACTGCTGAAGGATCAGATCTCTAAAGCCTTTACTGGTGCCTTCAAAGAAGGTGAATCGGAGCGCTTCCTGCTCACGGCCGTTGCCGCACTCCCTCGTGGAGCCTTGGATGTCACAAAGGAGGCGATAGAGATCATTGCTTCCGGGTACATGCGCTTGGAACGGCCGCCTGCGGCCTTGCTGAACATGGCCTTCAACCCCGCCTACGAGGGCGTTCCTTGGCTCCGCTCGGCTTTGAAGCAGCTGGGGCTCCAGTATGGCGTGAAGGAATGGATTGACTTATCAAGGCCGCAGCCGAGCAAGGCTTCCCTTGATGCCAACACGCAGCACAAGCAGGCGGCTTCCGAAGAAGCTGAGCGCCAGGAGGCTTTAGAGAAAGCCGAAAGCCAAACCAGCACGACCAAGGAGCAGCCAGCCGTGAACAGGGAGGCAGTGCGAGAGGCAGCCGCGGCTGAAGATGACGCAGAGAATGAGGACCAATGTCATGGATTGTGTTCTCTGTGTGTGTAATTTGTGCACAAGTCTGACTAATTCCTGCAGAAGCTGCAACAGGAAGTCTGCAGACGGATTGCTGCCATGAAGATGCTGGTGTTGCATTATGTGGTCGTCAGCGTCATAGCATCTCAAACATTGTCGAAGCATAGGCGCCGCACAGCTTGCTTTCAGGAAAGTGGACTACGACGACGTGGACTTGGAGAAGCGCTCATGGATCAAAGAACCTGAAGATCCTGGCGTTCGGTCGTTGCAGCGGACTGTGCAAGGAGCCGTGAAGCGATTGTCGGAAGATCTCTACAGCGGAGAGGCCGACTGTCTTGATTGCGCTTTCCGTGCTTTCCAATTGTATGTCGGAAGCTCGAGAAATCGACAGGCCCATTTTCTGCTGGAGCTTCTTCAGAACTGCGACGACTGCACATATCCGGAGGGCTCTTTGGTTCATGTAATCGCACATGGCTGCATGTTGGCTGTTGATTCGTGGTGGAAACAAGAGCAAGAACAATAGGTTGCTTCAAAGCTTGTGCTGCTCGTACAAGTCGATGTAGGCTGCAAATCGCCGCTCAGGTGAGATCCCAACACTGCGGCTCACGTACGAATCCAGGCAGGAAGTTGGAAGTAGACGTAACTCTGAGAGTTTCCCATTGCAATCATGTGTCCCATGGCGCACAGGAGGGGTAACTTCGATAGCATCACCAGCTTCCGTGCTGGAGATGCTGTCGAAGCCTATCTTGTGCTAGAGCACAATGAGAGTGGGTTCCAGGACTGCGACAATCTGCCACAAGGGCGGGTCATGCGCCTTCTCGAGGCTCTAGGCAGCAGCGCAAGCACCGCAGACAGGAGAAGAACGTCACTGCCATTTGCGACATCGACAAATCTACAAAACAACTGGCTGACAAGAAGTTCATCGGTGCCAAGGGAATTGGATTCAAGTCAGCTACTCTGATGCCCTACTTACCCGCACTTAACACCGTTCACCAGCCGCTTCAAGCACACTTGTTCACACTCGCCAAAGGTGTTTCTCGTTACCTCCACTCCTGTCTTGCACTCGCGTGGCTTTCACTTCCATTTCGACGCTGACGCGCTGAGACTTGGCAACCCATTTAGCCAGTCAAAGCGGAGGCTTGCAGCCACGAAGCATCATCCACGCTTCTTGAGCCAGTGCCATGTACAGTACTGAGTACTGCGCTGTGTCGTTCAGGCAAGGCCTGGGCTCTCTTTTGCCCTTTCCATTGCCTCCCCCCTCAAATCCACCTCGTGGAACGCGGCTTGTCTTGCCCTTGAGCAGTACACAAGGCCAGGCCGATGCTCGGCATGACTTTTCAGCCTGGAACACCTCGGTCCTACTTCCGTGCAGGGCCCTTGACAAAGCGTGGCCTGCAAGCTCCGGACATTGGCCAGCGGGCGCTGAAAGACGTGCAGCCCACCTTGCTCTTGTTCCTTCGCAAGCTGGCACAGGTGGAGGTGCCCGAACTTCTCCCGTACATCCATTTATAATATGGATATATGTATATATATATACATCTATAATATATCTGAGATTATACATAGTATTATATATATATATATATGTGTGTAAGTCTCACATGTTTTGTTCTGTTTGTGGGTGCCGTGCAGCTTCGGGCCCCTTGATGTGCAGGTGATGGACGAAGCACGTGGGCTGAAACAGGTCATCACCAAAGAGATTCTCCCTTCAGAGGGCCAGGCCAAGGCGCTTGTGAGGAGGATGCAGATCTTCAAGTCTTACGCGTGTGCTTTTCAAAAGCTGTAGGAGATCAAGCTGAAGGTTGACATCACGTCACCAGAGGCGCTTTTTTGATTTCTCCCACACAGTTTGAGCATGCAGAGCGCGAAAAGTGCAAATTGCAGCTGGCCGAGGCATCGCCTGAGTCGGAGGAGCAGCAAGTGTGCTTGCAAGAGCTCTTTGGGGCCATTCTGCAAAGTTCTCCCAGTTGTCAAAATGCCAGGAGCAGAGATGGCTGGTACAAACAAGGGGCGTGCAGGTGGATTCGTTGGTGACGGAGCTGTGCCTTGATTGAGTTCAGACAAGAGTCATTCGAACTAAAGCATTGAGACTCGACAGCATAATATGAAGAAACAGAAGCTAGGGCGGTACGAGTGCCATGATGTGGCTGCGCTTTCTTGCCAAAGCAGGCGGATTATTGAAAGCTATCAGCTGTCTTGGTTCTGCTTGGACAACAGTGAAAAATAGTGAAAACATATATGGGCGAGGCCGTTCATGACTTACAGGCCCTGTGTGCATGTGGACGTGTTGGAAACGTGTGAAGCCTCCGATCGGAGGTTGCATTTCGGCATCGTTTCAACACTTAAACGACATTCAGGCAGTCCAAAGTGATTCTTCTAGCCGGCGCATTCGGGTCAAAATCCCAAAGAACACTGCTCTACACATCCTTCAAATCCCTAGTGCCAGACCAAAACACCCACCCCCACCCGTTACCTGGGTTCCTGTTGTAGGGATCTGCTTCTTGTTGTTGATGAGGCCATCTGACTTTAAGTTCCCGATGAACCAAACTTCAAAGCTACACATTCCCCTTGGCACTGGCCTAGGAAGTTAGCCTTCCGGCTCGACAGCGCAGCAGGCCCTGGGAGAGGAAGAGAGCGTTCCAGGGATCTTTGTGCTAATGGAGCAAACTAAGCCCAAGCTATACAAGTTGCACCGTGCTTGCGCGACCTTGCTGTGGTTTTTTGGAGGCAGCTCAGAGAAAGTCTATGCTTGGCTTCCTTTGCAGTCCTATGGCCTCCGATTCATTGTCCAGGCCCCGCAGCGCAAAGACAGCCAAGTTGCCAAGTCGCTGCTTTTGTCATCCTCTGCGCTGCGTTGCGGTCAGGCGGACTGGAAGGTGCCATCCTCCAGAGAGGCCATCACGGACAACGTCTTCAATCAGAAGCTTGGTGTTGAAAGGACAAAGGATGCAAGGCGGTGCATTCTGTGTTGGGTCTGTAGCTCCAGCCCAGGAGAATTCGAGAGCAAGTGCCAGCAGCATTTGTAGAAGCGGCGGAGACTTTCAGAAACCTGGCATCAGCTGCCGCCCTGGAGCATGACATCGTGCTGCAGAGCTGCGAAGATTGGGAAGATGAAGGCAAGTGGAGCCGAGCTTTTGCTTGTTTTGCGTTGTGTGGCGACCCGGCCGCCTTCGCGCGGGAGGTGATGCTGGTGTGCCTGGTTCGCAGATGACAGCAGCTCTGGATGCATCGGCGGAAACTCTCTTGCCGTTCTATGCTGCAATTCCTCGATCAGGCGGCCACCCACATGACTCCTTCAATCCTCGCGTCGATTGATCTCTAGCTGCAGAATGTGTGGAGATGCCCTGCGCAAGGCGACACCGTAAACTTCTTCCAGGGCACCGACGTGAGCATCCTCAACGCACTGCGAGAAGTACCTTTAATCTTGGTGAGGAAGCCATGTCCAGGCCACAGCATTGAGCCTGGCAACGGAGACGCAGAAGAGGACTCTGGGAGTCAAAGAGCTGAAGAAAGCTGGCCTCTTCTATCATTTCTATCTCTTTCATTGATCTCTCCTTCGTTCGGCACACTTCTGGGGTGACCTGCAGGATGGCCAGGAGGTGCAGGAGACCCAGGAGCCCCACTTCCGCCTCGCCTTTTCCACAGCATCGCATGCCGTTCGCGAGCAGCTGCCAGAAGGAGTCCCAGCAGCCTGGCCGCACTTGGCCGCACCTTGGTTGCGTTTGCCGACATTTGTGTTCTGAGGCGAATCTGTCCGAGCATCTGTCGACACTGGAGCCGCTCCTTGCAGAAGTCTGCCCCCCCAGCTTTCGCAGCGGGTGCTGTGGCACTCTGCAAACCAGGATGCAAGACTTCGGTGCTGGTTGGGATGATCACGCGCATTGTCTGCACACAGGCCGGGCACTACCTGGAAGTTGGAAAGCTTCCAGCTCGCGTGGCAGATGCTCTTGGGGTGACAGTGGCCTGCATGAAATGGGGGACTTGCAGTGGGATTGCACTCTTCGTGTTACTCTTCGTAGCGGCACAAAGCTTTGTCGGTGGCATGGTGGGGGGCGACAGACAGCCGGGCGTGCATCACCACGCAGAAACGACAGCCTGTTCCAGGCGTTGGACGCGGATGTTGCCCTGGATTGTTTGAAGGCCGACGATTTTTTGAACATTTTGAACCGTCTGAATCCTAGCGATAAAGCCGAACGCAACATCTGCATGCAGAGGCCTTTGCGAGGCGTTGGTCTCAAAGGGAGGAGACATTCGCATTGCAGGTGTCCGTTCCGGCCTCGGCCTCCTTTCTCAAAAATCTTGCAAAATGTTCTTTCGCCAAAACACCTCGTGCTTTGACCGACCCCCTTCAGCTCGGGTTGAGAGGGATCACACCTGAGGACATCGAGACGTTGCACCTTCTGCTACTGATCCTCGAGGCCGCAGATGCTGTTCTTGCGCTGGGGAAATGCAGGGTGGAGCCCAACATTGTTCAGCACAGTGTCGGCACGGGCAGCCGAGGCAAAGGAGGAGCTTTACCAGGAGATCAAGCAATGGGCCGTGGTTCCCAGTGAGGCTGGTCTTGTGGCCTTGGCAGAGCAGGAGGCCAGGGATGCTCAAAAACTATGCATAACCATGCTACGCATGCTACATCATGCTACTTGCTGCAGCCATCCGCTTCAGGGCAGCCACGGCACCTTGCAGTGTCGCCCTGGCCGCAGTCTTGCAGGCACAGGGGCGCAAGGTGTATGACATCCCCGATGAGATGGCTGGATTGGAAGCAGTCTTGGGAGAAGGGCAGAGATTGGATCCACGACTGAGTCGCATTGCCCAACCGAAGGTCCGGCATGCCACATGCAATTCTGGGTGGATCCACGGCATCCAGATGCATCTACCTGCAGCCTGCACAGGTCAAGCAACTGTTCAAGAAGCTTGGCATTGAGCGCGTGGACGGCTGGGTGTTTTTTGAGAATGTGCTGCTGCCAGTCCTGTCAGGAGGCAGCCATCAAAGCACGTGCATGGGCCCGGGTCGTGTAGCAGCCATACCTTCCCGTGCAGTCAGGCGAGGCCCCAGATGCGGACAAGCTGGTAGCAGTCACAGCGAACTTTCGTCGCAGTACTCGGGTGGGCAGTGAGTAGCTATACTCACTTTGTGCACTTGCAATGTTCCCACCTATCCGAGGAGATTCAAGCATCTTCTGGCCATTTGCGAAGATAGCGATCTCAAGGAGACTGTCATATCTTGCATGTGGTTCGCTGGCGCATCAAGCTCTTTACTTGAGTTTCTGCATGTGGCGCATCATGTAGCACACAAGAGCAAGGTCTGTGTGTAGCTGCCGAGAATTCTGGTTTGGAAGTTGGAGACGTCGATTGGGTGGCAATTTGAGGACAAGATGGTGGCCTGTGTCAGCGAAACTGGCTGGTGGGCAGCCAGGCTGCAATCGACGAGGCTGTCTTCTTGGAGGCCATGTGCATGCTAGGCTTTGCGCAACACTTTGATTCGAATCTATCCAGGCTGAAGTTGTCCCATTCTTGCATGCGATACCTCCTCTTGCTCTTTTTGCCGGTATGTGTGCCGCATCTGAGGTATTGGCCTCCACACACACGGGCGAAATGCAGACAGCGAAGGCAGGCAAACTGTCAGACATGCTGCTGCGCACCTGAATTCTTGCTGTTGGTGTTGGCGCTGGGGCTGGAAGGTTGGCGGGCAATCCGGCAAAGGATTGCACTTGACACCGCTCTCTAAGTCTTTGGCATCACGACTAGCTGACGAGGCTTCTTGGAGCGGCATCTGCTGTAAAACAAGTGCTGCCTTACCACGTTTTACTATGCCTGTAGGCCCACGATTTGGAGTGGCTAACTCCATCGGACGCGTACTGCGCTGAAGAGACTAGCGCAGACAGCGAATCCTGGCCCGCAACGACGACCAGCAACATGTCTCAAGCCCCTTGCCCAGCCTGAAACCCGATGCGAGCCATCACTAGCTCGAGCAAGGACAGCTCACAGCAGTGGGAAGACTTCTGGACTCTCTTGGGGGCTGTCCCGGCCTTTCACATCAAGAGGGGGGACGACATCACAAGCAAAGAGCTGGAAAGGTTCCTGGCTGTGTGTGGTCCCGTTAGGTGTTTCTGTGAGTTTGTGGTTTAATTTAAGGACTTCACGGCATTGGTGTTGGATGGGGGTCAAGAAACGTGTGATAGGTTCCGCGTCCACCCACACTGCCCTCACTTGCCAAGGCTTCTCCAGATTGCCGGCAGCGATGCAAACTTGGCGAAGGAAGTGGTGGAGCTCCTGGCGCCACATGGAGATTTCTATGCTGACTCCCTGTGGATTTCAGGCGGGAAGGTGGCTGAGCAGTACGCGTTCGGCCATACATTGTGATCCCGGGCTTGTTTCCTACATTCTGCAAGCAGGATCCCAGGAGGCTGATGCCGCCCAGAAGCAGCCATCCTCCGTGGGGCGGATGCTCTGCATGCGCGCATGGCAACTCGACTGATGTTTGCCTGGACTCGTTCGGTTATGGCAGGATGCACGTGGTACATTACGGTACGTTGTGATACAGTGCTGCGCCAACATGTGACAGCTCAAGGCTGCCAACGCATCGTGGACTGTCGGTGCCAATGCACATGGCCTGGCTGTGCCCCGATGCACCAAAGCCGTCGGAACAGCGCTTCACCTTTGACCCTTGTGTCTCTACGCTGGCAGAGGCCGCCTCGACCAGAAATCTGTCCCCCTTCATTCCCTCCATGGCGGCTGACTTGTGGACAGGAGTGGCCGGGCTTGGGCATCGAGAAAGACCCATCTGCTCAGACCATCATTAGCATACTGCGGGACCTACGCTCTCGGAAGGCTTGCATGTCTCACCTTGTTGATGTATCACCTTGTTGAACCTTGTGGTCAGTTGAGCCAGTCTCGTCAGCAGCAAAATGCCAGGGCGATCTGAAAATCGCAACGGGCGAAATGAAGACGATCTACTCGAAGCTTCAGGCGGGTCATTCCGAGCTTGGGCCGGGCCTCTGGAGCTTCCTGGAGCTTCCTGGAGCTTCCTTGCCTTTCCAGTTGCCTTTCCTCCACGGAGACGCAGGCAAAGCCAGCAAGGAACACCGAAACCTGCCTCGCGGCCTGCGTTGATCAGGAGGATCTCGCCGGGCTCCCAATGGACCTTTTGAAGTTCTTGTTCTTGGGCAGGCAGAGAACACCTTTGTAGCTCCCCATGCTGCAAAACATTAACCAAGGAAATGTTCATCAGTGAAGAGAAGTGGGTGTATATCCCCAATCATCCGAAGCCGCCGTGCTGAAAAGAAGCATGCACCAGCATAGCGTGCCCATGCAATGTTCTTGGAGTTGGGGAAACCTGTAGGCCCCATGGGACTTTCAAAGAATGGTACGATCGAGATGCTCGACAACCACACCGGGGAGATTTCTACAGCTTGAGCCAGCCACATGGCAAGCATGGACAGCTTTGCAGCTATTCTCAAAAGCAGCGAATAGCAGCTAGGCCATGATAGGCCAACGAAATGAGAGCACAATGGACAACCTGCGACGCTGTTGGACCAGGCTTGTGTTTTCGGACCGGGCCGAGTGCCTGGATGGCTTCTTTGCCCGCAAGGCTGTCATAGCCAGCGCTTTCTCAGGACCACCGCAGCTCACGCACCAGAGACCAAGGTTTCAGCTCCAATGCCAGGGACGACGCGATCGACCTCATGCGTGGGCTTTTTGGCCGGATTGACTCCTTGCTGCTAGCGTTTGCACGTTCTAAGACGCCACTTCTTTCGCGTGAACGACATCGAACTACGCACGTATGAGTACTCCAAGGTGCCTGGGAAAACGTGTGGTGGCCAACTACTATTTTGGCCAGCAGACTCTCTGGCCAGCCTCCTGGAAACGCAGCGCCTTGAAGACCAACCTGGCCAATCAGATTTGGCTTTTAAACGGAAGCAAACTGCATTTCAATTTGTCCCTTCTTGAGCTTACTTGGTTGGTCTTTGCGTGTATGGGGTGCTCAGAAGAGCAACGAGTGTGCCGGCATTCCGCAGTGAGGTGTGAGAAGTGAGTTCCTTGACTTTCTGGCCAGCCGCGGTGTCCAGGACAGGGCTGTAGTCCTCCTGTAGAGTCTTAAGATCTTTCTCTGCAGGCAAGGCTGGAGGTTGACGACTACATTACTGTGCTGAAGGCTGTCGATGAACAGCTGCCGGGCAGAAGATCAAGATGGTAGCGCACCCCACATGTCGCACTTGTTGCACTGCGCCCAGACCGCTAATCGCTGCTGCTGATCCTACCACCAATTACCACCACCTCTATCCCGTCCACTTCCCTTTGGACAAAAAGCCTCGTGCACAATTTCAAGTGGAGCTGGCAAGGAACATGTGAGCCTCTGCTCCGTGCAAGGGCAACGTTCTCGACGGGAGGGCGAAACAAGGAGCATAAGCCCATGCAGACTGGATGAGCTGGCAGTCGCACAGCACCGCGCAACGACAAGCAGCATTAGCGAAGTCAAGGCTTGCCCTTCTACTAGCAGTCCTGAATAGGGATTGTAACAGGGTAGGACTGTTAGTACAAGGGAGAACATCCCAACTTGTCACGAAAGTATGTTTTCACAGCTTCTGAAGGAAATCCTTGGCTCTTGCATGATGCCTGACGGATGTTCAGTATGTTGAAGGGGAGGCTATCTTTGGTTCAGCATTTGACGACGGGAAGTTGCCCAACAGCCAGCAGAGACTGCCGACTTTTCCCAAGATCTTCAAAAACCCACCCAACTCCTCTAAAACCGGCCAAAAAACTGGCAAAGCCTCCCACCTGCCGAAAATTAATCCGAGCTTCTGTTTAATTGGTGGGGGGCCCCCCCCCCCCCCCCCCCTCCACAATAAGGAATGCAGGGTTCCGCAATAGTTGGACCGCGGCCCTGTATTGATTCTCTATTAAAGACAATAGGCTGCAGATCCCTGAGGTGCTGTAGCTTTGCGTCTCCGCAAGCAAAACAAGAAGCCTGCCGACAGATTTTGGAACCCCCCAACAAAAAATTCCTTTAAATGTGGGGGGTTTGTCCCATACGAAATCCACCCTAATGGAAAGTAGTCTTCCGGCGGGCTTCCGGCCAAAAAAAAATTCTTTAAATATGGGGGTATAAATTAAACTGATGCTCGGATTAAGGTTCCCAAAACTTCTGGGGCGTTCCTCCAAGCCAAACAGAACCAATCGTATCTACATAGGGTTGGTAGGTGCTGGAAGTATACATCCCGGCGTTTCCGGAAGTTGCTTCGCGAGGGCCACCGCGTGGCTGTAGTCTTCTCACAAAATGAAAGTACCTTCGTGCCAGTGGTCGCGCAGGGCCATTAGTTCGCACCTCGCCGCGCATTCTTGGCTTTCCCTTTTGGGCAAGCTCTTACTCCATGCCTACTATATTTGCTGCATCCAGTCTCGCCTGTAAGTCTGTGTTGATGCAGAATTCATCCGCCTTCTCCAAGGTTAAGTGTCATCACGGCCAAGAAGGGGACACCCAAGATCAAAGAGACACATATTCCAGGCTTTGTAAGACAGATGCTTGGCTCGAGTCCAGGCCCACGTCGGCGGAGCATGAAAGACGCATGGCTTACTGTAGCTTGGTGGACTGAGGATTCTTCGCACAGTGTCCTTGGTTGTGGACACTGAGATCAAAGATGCGCAGCACCGCCAGGAGGAAGAGGAGGACTTTGCGTTTGACTGAGACCCCTCTACTTCCGAAGGTCGAGTCGAAGCTGTGTCACTGCCGCTGAGGACGGTGGTGCCGCGACAGACATGGAAATGTCCAGCGCCCTTGTTTCTTGCCAGGCTTTATCAGTGATTCAATGCAGCCACATAGTAGACAATCGCACCGTGAGGCGACATTCTATGCTGGAGCTCTAGACCTCTGCTTTCTGAAGGCCGCGGACGAGTTCCATGGCAGATAGTCAGATCCAGCTTGCTCGTGCAATACGGGTAGTAGATCTGTTTCAACAAGGCCGTGTAAGTATCACCCAGAATCAGATGCAGTAGACCCGAAGCCTGTGCATTTTCTTGGATTCTTGACCCAGTGCCAAATACCCGCTGGCCACTGCCCTGACCTCAGTTCCCAGGTCGTGGCAGCCAATGCGACAGTTTGCATACATCATTGACCAGAACAAGCTCTCGCAACTGTCAGGCCCGGGTTCTGTGAAGGCATTCCCGTGCTTGACCCCGCTGTGTGCAGAGGCTGGTTGCCAGATGCTCGTCGGTTTGTGGCTATAGTGCCAATAGTGCCCGGCCAACGTGATGCGAGCCATAAAAATAGACACAGCATCATGCAACTCCTAAAGCGATGTGGGATCCGCACCTTGGCTGATGCAGTTAAATCTTGGGAACTTTTGGTGGCAACTTGGAGATGTGGCGCATTCCGGGCCTATTCTGCTCAGGGCCCTGGGACCAGAAGGAAGAGACACTTAGAAGGTGTGCGGTGGTCATCCCGGAGGCATGCCGATTCCAGCAGGTGTTGCTGGCTTGCGAATACAGCCTTACCTAGCTTGTCGTGGCAGTGAGGCAGTTCCCCTCAAACCTTCGGGAGCGGAGGCCGTGCACAAAGAGAAGCGACAAGCACTGGCAAAAGAGATTCTGTCCCAAGCGCTGCACAAGATCGCAGACAAAGCACAAGACATGCCGGTCAAGGTGCGCTCCAAACATCGAGTCAAGAAGGGACGAGTTAAGCAAGTCAAATGCCACGCTCAGGATTCAGTTTCAGGATGTTTTCGGGATGCTGCTTCGTTGGAGAGTTGTCGAGATCTTCAAAGTCAGATGTTTGTAGCTGCTTTCAACCTGTTTTGGTGGCAGAATTTCAACGCGTCGCCTGAAAGGAGAGCGGGCCGGACATCGGCGACGTTTTCCGTCGTATGAAAGACGTTGCTGAAAGGTTCCTCATTCTTGAGCACTAGCTGTTAGCAACCTCCATACAGCATTTGTGCCACAGAGGCTTCGGGTAGAGCCGGCGAGCAGGATATCATTTTATCAGGCGGCGAAGCTTTTGATAGCTTTTGGTCGAAATAGCATTGCATGCATGGCTTCTTAGCCGCTGCACGTCACGTGTTTGAAGACTGCGGTATGTCAATGCATGGTCACGGCTGAACACGACACGGCCCGCAGTCTTCCACAAGTGCATGGCAGTCGCAGGTGATTGCTCTCGACGTCCATGAAGTCGAAGCAAGTGGCAAGGAGATTGCCAGCACGGAAGACATGTCAATGCAGTGGCATGGCATACGGTTTCCAGCTGTCACTTGCACAATTGTGGTTCCGCTGAGCTCGCGCAGCAGCAAGAAGCATTCTTGCTCGTCGAGGTTTGTGGAGTTCAAGTCCTCGAAGAGCGCGGCAGTTCCGATCGTGAGGAGGGGGGAGCATGTTGAGTGTTGGGTTCCTTGTCCGCCAGAGTAATGAGACTCTTATGCTTGGTGTCTTCGCTGCGGGCGGCGCATCCGATGCAACGGTTTGTTAAGTGGCACATATTGTTGGACCCTGTTTTGTACGCGGCCCGCCGGCTTAAAACGGGACCATGCGGAGGGGATCCGCTATCAAGTGCCCGCATTCTTGAATCTGCGACATGCCCAACTATCTGACTACCTCATACAGCCCAGAAGAGGATCAAGGAGCTTGAGCGCATCCACCGGGAATTCACCGGCGAAAGTGCTGAGAGTGGAGATGAGGAACCCGCGGTACGTCACAGCATCACGGCACATTCGCATGCACACTTGTTGTTGGGCCTGCAGCCACGACAGTCACGCTTAAGCGTGGGACCCTTGCAGGAGAAGCAGCTCGTCTTTGCCTTTGAGGGCGGGGTCGTGGAGGCCATTCAGAATGGCTCGCGCGAGCTTGCCAGAGTTGTGGCCTTGGAATTCAACAGAACACTAGCTGCTTGGTGTATCTTGTACGCCATGCTGTCACAGTGCTGTCACTTGCGTCCGGGACCACATAAGGCCTTGGTCACCTTCGCCATGCAGGGCCTTCCTGAAAAGCAGCAAGAGCCGAAAGGCTGGGGGTTGATTACTTACTGTCAACTTGTTTGCCTTTCAATACTATTACAGCCGGCAAGCAGGGCGTGATCGATGGCATGTGTAGGTTACAGAGGCATGAAACAAAGCACGAGTAGCCACTCGCTGCCGTTGTGCAGACGTGTGCCTGGCGAAAGCAGAAAATTTTGAAAAGCAGCTTGAGCATGCGAGCTCTCGTACCTGAGGCAAACAAGGTCTCTCTGAGCAGGCGGCGGCCATCGTGAACTTATTGAGAATGGCGATCGGAACTGTCGCCCAAGGCAACGCGTTCGTTACTCGCAGCCAGGCCACCTCATGTGCGTTTGCCCATCCGCTTGCCTCAAGGTCAAAGCGAACCTTCAGAGAGCTTGCCAGATCTGCCAGAGCGACCGCCAGAACCCATTTCCATGGGTGGCGACGACCCCAATGCCAGCGAAATGCGAAGCCCAACGACAGTAGCGACAGAAGCGGAATCGAAACTTGAGGACCTGCTTGCTTGGAAGCTTGGCTGCTTTGACTGAGATTCTTCCACGCCAGGAGGATTCGGAGTCAAGAGAACAACTGCTTGAAAAGCCACTCAGATGAACTTTGCCAGACTCGTTGTGTGTACCATGCCCCAGTGTCAGCGCCACCTAGGCTCTTCGAAGAGATGAAGGACATGGATGACTCAGACTGGTGGGGCGCACTAGCGCAGGCTTCTGACGCAGAAGACGTCCAACAAGAGGGAAGCGGGGTTGAGCCGGACTTCTCCGTGTCAGACTTGCTTCGGAACGCCGGTGAAGCGACCCTGTGCCGCACCAAGCTCACCCGCCCTATACTGGTGCGACAAGCCACAAGCCAAGATGACCTTTAAACCAGCCAAATTCCTAGTCATAGAGTAGCCTTAAGATCCCTTGCTCTCTTGTACGTAAATCACGAAAGAAATCCTTAGAGCGAAGCATCCGCAAACCGAAATTCTTCAAAGGTCGCTTCGGGGCTTCTACTGTTGAACTTGGGGAACCGCCGGAATATCGTAACTCTCCGGAATCCCCAGGCTTGATTTCAGGCGAAGGCGGCGATCCAAGGCGACGTCGCGAGAGCCTGGAAGGCCTGGGCTTCACTTGTTTGCCTCTGTTTCTTTTCGGCAGACTCTTTGGCATTGGGCCAATCTCAATCTAAGCCACGAAGCACTTGGGTGAGGAAGAGCGGCTCCTCGTCTGTGCCAGCGGTGCAGGCAGAGGCTGCTGGCAGAGACCAGGCGCCTCCTTTGTATGCGCCGAAGCTGCGCCCATCCATAGTGATGGGCCGTTGATTTCAGGAGCTGGCCGAGTTGCTGCCTCCCATGGTGCCCTACAACGTCGCGGAAAGCAGCGTGCCCTACGATGCCCAGCCAGGACTCGCTTCAACTGACTGAGTTGAGTTGAACTGGGTGAGTTGATTTGAGTCGAGTTGCTTGCTCTGTATCTGATGTCAGGGGGGCCGCGACCGGAGGGACGCGGACAGGGAAGTCGCCAAGCCTCCAGCCCAGAGGGTCAATTTCAAATTTCAGCAATCCCCAGCTTTATTTTCCAAGATCAAGCTCTAGTTTTGATTGTTTCTTTGTTGCAGAGACTCTGTCTGGGGGTAAGGCGATGGTTGACGCGGCCGATGCTTCCGGGCAACCAGCTCGAAAGGCCCACGAAAAAGCTTTCTCCTGCTCTTAGAAAGAGCAGCATCTCTGCCAGGATGGGGGCCGTGCCCCGGCCCGAGGTGAGCAAGACGAGGACACCAACTCACGTGTCCTGCTTCTTTGGTGCTCCTGCGGATGAGAGTGGAGGAGTCTTTCGTTGGCAGGACCAAAGGGATTTGAGGCCCAGGAGGATCCTGCAAAGGGAGAAGCGGCAGCTGAGCCATCCCAGAGGATACCCGCTGGAAAGGCCACTCCTCAAGTTGAGATTCCACATATCCCCTATAAACCCTAAAGCTATGACAGAATGAGCATACACCGTGGAGCCCCATGCCTTTCGGGCGCTCGCAGAATCGCACTGGACCTGGACACGCCGCCCATGGAGACGGGCAGCTTCCAAGATTTGGATGTCCGCTTGGGGGACTTGCAAGATGCGCTTGGCAAGGCCTCCGCTCCTTCGGCCAGCTCCTTCGGCTTGCTTTTGGAATTTCGTTTTCGGATACGATTACGACCCCCTCCTCAAAAAAAGTCCAAAACAATCGTGGAAGGAGGTTTGTTGTGTTCGTTCCTCGGTCTTGCGGTGCATGTCTGTGAAAATCGAAAGCCTGGCACCCACACAATGACTTTGTTTGCAGGGAGAGGAGGGCGGGTGGACTAGGAAACATATTGGTGGCTCGGAACCAAGCAGTACAAACAAGCATGAGCAGAACTCTTGATTCGTGATGCCTGACAGCTTTATCTGGGCTTTGTCGTGTCCGGGTCTAAGATTTTTGGATAAGGCAGCTGTCCTTGAATGTAGCCACCCCGCAAACTGCGTGTGGGGGGGGCTGCTCCCGTTTATGTAGAGAAGAACTTGAGGATACCCGCTGCAGCATTGACAAGCACGATGGTCAGCAAACCGGATTCAGGCAGCACCTTCATGCAACAATGCAACATGCAAGGCGATTGAACCACTATCTGTTTATCGAGCTATCATGTATGGGCAAATTTCTGTTCAGAGCGATATGCTAACAAGAATTGTGTGACGAAGAGCGTCAACCAGTAGATTGGAGAGGGTGTTATCAACTCACACGTCTGAGGCAGCATGCAGCGTAGCCCGGTGGGCCAAATCGGGGAGCAACTGGCGGCACTTTCCCTGGAGCAGCAAGGCTTTCAGGCCGGGAACCTCCTTGACTGTGAACTATGTTTCCGCCCGAGGCCCGTGTCAAGAAACTGACAGTAAGATCTGGTGTGCTTGTGGTTGTTCTTGCGAGGTTTGCTGGATCAACGAGGCCAGTGAGCTGGGGCTGCCCTGCGACCTCATCCTAAGCACCATGGCACTCGTGGACATTGTGCTGCATGCCTACGAAACCAAAACACAGCCATACCCAGCGGTGTCATACCTGTTTAAGGCCAGGGCGGAACAATGCCCACAATTTGCGGCGGGAGTGGATCAGTGGAAGCGGAGTTAGTCAAGGGCCTTCTGGACGCAGCACTGCGCGGAGAAGGATGCCAAGGGAGTTCGTTCCGGATCATGGCAGCCTAAAGCTTCGGGCACTTGATATGTGTATGCCAAACCACAGGAGTACCCTCAACCCCCCCCCCCGCCCCCCTGCCTGGGCGAGGTTCTACTATCCGGCTACTGCTACCGTTGACTTGGGCAGTTAAAAGGTCGCAAAAAGCGGAGGGGTCTTCATGTTTTCCCCCATTCACACAAGGGAGCAAAATTTTGAGCTCAAGCCCCGAAAGCTTTACTTGGTGTGCTAAACATACTTTGCAGAGTTTTAGGTCTTCGAGGAACTGACAGTGTCTGCAAGCTATTAAGTTCATGATTTGCGCATGTGAACACGAATCAGGTTTTGACATTAAGGGAGAGCATTGCGCTGCGCAGGAGATCCGAACATAGTTTTTGCGGAGGTGAAGTCCACGACGTCAGGCAATTGCAAGCCGCGGTATAGTGAGAGACGAGATCACATGCATCACTCACAGGTGACCGAGAGTTCTTCGAGATCTCGCGCGCCGAGGTCGAGGCACTATCGACCCTAGGACCAGCTCTGAGCATCTTGCAGAGTATCAACTGTGACTGGCAACCATGGTCACTGTCAATATTGCGCTGCTGAAGGACCCAGATATTGGATCGTTCGCGTCTTTGGCGTCCCACGCTTGGATGCGGCGAGCGAGCCGGGCGTCGCCAAGGCCACGAAGGCACTCTCTTGCCAGTGATCAGAGGGTTTTTGAGACTTAGACGTACATAGCCGTGTATACACGGTCGCATCTTCCCGAGAAGAAGACCATGAAGAGCACATTTGATTGCACAATATGCAGCTTCGCAAGCGATGTGTCCTGCGAGGTGCGGCTTTGGAAAGACCCAAACAGAGCCCTTGGGAGGGGCGAGATGAAGCTGTTGCTGCTGACTTGAGGTATTGCCTCGCGGAGATGGCAGTAGCTACTAGAGTTGCTATTTCTAGAATAGGCCGCGCACAATCTGTACTGTAGTTACTGTAGTGTAATTACCTGCCGGCACATGCCTATCCTGGGGTGCCTACGATGGGCATGGGGTGGGTAAGTGAGCACATGCAAGAATAACTTTCTGCGCATCTCCATCGCGGCGTGGTGTAGTGCAAGCTTCCGTCTATGCCGCGCGTCGATTATTTCCGGTTTCCGGAGTTGACAGTGCTGTTTGTTTCTTTAATTCTTGCTCTTAAGAGGCGGCTGGTGGGGCTTCGATTTGCATAGACCTATACCTTTCTCAAGTACATTTTTCACGTAGCACGGCCATCACCTGAAACTTACTTGCGCCCGCCGATAGCCTTGAGAGTGTAATTTGTGCACCAAGTCAGCACAAGCATGGTAAGCACACCTGTTGCACCAGATCTTCGGAGTGCTGCGCTGGCGGCTCCCTGCTGCGCGCGCACCATGAAGTCTCGAGTTCGACGGGGTGCTGTCTGCTTGTCAGTCGCAAAGAGGAGCTTGACGTCGACAGCACGCCTGGAGTGCGGCACGCTTCCTACGTTACTCTGACTCTACACGGGCCTTCAGAACGAAGTAGCCCGAAGCAACCCATGACCCAGGATTTCGTTTGTCCAGTGAGCCTTGGCTCCAAGCTACAGCCGGGATCGATCGGAAGCGCCCCATGCCGGGACCCACAGAGGTCCAATCATGGCTTCGCCCCACAAGCAGTGCCGAATATGCTTGGAAGAGCATTCCAGCCGCTTGATTGCAGCAGCAAATGTGTGATATTCAAGGCCTGCGATGCTTCAATAGCAACAGAAGCAGTACCCAACCCGCAGGTGATTCCATGCTTTCGCCGTGCTTGTGCCGCGGATCTGCCGCGTGGGTGCATCGAGACTGTCTGCTCAGAGCCGCTTGGCGAGTCAGCAGACATGTTCTGAATGGGGCTGGGCACAGCAGCGCTGCGCCCTTGTCCGGTTGCAACTTGCACCCCTGAAGGCGTACATCCACAAAGCAGTGTGGCATGAGCTGGCCTGCTCCGTCTGTGGTCACGCGTACAGCGGCGAAGCCGCGTTCATGCTAGGCCTGGAGGAATGCAGAAACCTGTGGTGCAGGAGGTCTAATGAGTCTAATGGATTGCGCTGGTTATTACCAGATGACAGTCAGCCTCGCGACAGGTTCCGCTGGGCTTAGATGCTGCGAAGAGAAGCACGGTGTTGACTCGGTTCCCGCTGCGCGAGCACGGTGCAGCCTTGCCATTGCCAGTGGCGATTTGGGCCGGTACCGACAGCAGATGCAGTTGTTGAAGAGGGCACTGCAAGTCTATGAAACAGCATCCTGGCTCGATGGTTGTGTTGACTGTAGCCTCTGAAACTTCTTGGTGACTCTGTAATCGGGCGTTCTTTGCCTTGACCATGTGACTGTCGGAAACCCTGAAAACCCTAAAACATCCTGCCTCAAATGGGAAAACCCAGGGGTTTCGTAGGGATAATGGGCCAATGAAGCAACGCATGGGCATGGGTGATGAATTGGCTCATGATGTCTGTACAATTCTGAGATGTCAGGTCATGTAGAGATTAACTGGCCCAATTTGAAAAGACGCCGAGCTGAAAGAGGAAAGGGGTACCGGGCAAAAGCACGCATGTAAAAATGGAAACAGGCATCTGTGGAGCCACTGGCTTGCCCGAAAAACGGGAAAACATAGGGGAACACAGGGCAAACGCACGCAAAACACCGAACAACGGCAACGCATAGGGAAAGCACAGGGAATGCAGGTGGTCGTGTGGGAAAATGGTGGGAAGAGAGTACGCGACATGGCTTAGGGTGTCAGTGTAAGGCGTAGGTGTGGGTAGGGCTTAGGGCTTAATTAAGTACGATCACTGTCATAGCTGCGCAGCAGAAGTACAGGGCGACATCATTCCAGTCTGCGGCTTTAGTGCAAAAGGGCAACCACGTTTGGAGTGCTTGCCCGGCAGTTCGAACAGGCCTGCATGCAAAAGGGTGATTGGGTTTAATGTTTAGTACTTTGCGTCTTGGTAAGCTTTAGTGGGATTTTGTTGGGTTTCAGTGGGTTGTTGTCAGGTGTAGTGGGCTTTTGTCAGGTTTTGGTGGGGTTGTATCAGTTTTCCGTGGGGCTTTGACAGGTTTTAATGACTTTTAGTGGGCTGTTGTCAGGTTGCGAAGGGTTCCTTGTGGGATTCTTGCTCGATGAAAGAAACCCCAAACAAAGAATACAGGGAGGCTGATCTCTGATATCAGGAACCCAACACAGCAGCACCAGCAGGACCCTGTAAACCGCGACTTCTTGGGCCCTGTGGCATTGGAAACCTTAGGTGTTTGGCGCTAGTCACATCACCGTCGGGGTGACGCTTGGTTTGATCGCCGACGCGCACGGCCATCTTGGTGAGTACCAGAAGCAGAAGGAAGCA